TCAACAACGGTCCTAATGGATTCAAAAGTTATAGTGTGATGCCTAAGGATGTCGAGTCCATAGTATGGTTGAGTCTCGAGCTTTTGTAGCGGAGTGTTCTGTGTTATCTTTGGTCTACGGTGTATCATGAGAGGAATGGGACCATATAACTTAGGATTCTTATAGGAATTTTTAGGATGGGTGTACCAGTTGAGGATGCGAATATGCGTACAAGGAGGGTATGAGATGGTTCGTGAGATTTGAGACAGCGTGGCCTCGTGAAATAAGGTCACTCGGGATGAGTGCGGAGTTGGGTTCATAATATTTTGAATGGGGCTATTATTATTCCTAAGTCAAGCCCAGAGTAAATTAGAAGAAGTCGGAACAGTTAGCAATAGTTGAATTGGCACGATGGTGGCAATGATTAGTTCCTTTAGCGTAATAAGTTATACATATGCTTGGTGACGGCGTGTGCGAGGCTTGACGGCCGCGGTAATTGAATTTACGTGGAGGCATTCGAGTGTTATGGCATGTTATGTGTATATGGATCATGGAAGGGTTATGGTGGTTTAGATCATGATCGAGGTTGTATTTTCTGCGGTTATAGGAATCCAGTCACGTGTTGCAATGGTTCTCCTAAAATGAGTTAAGTGAAAGGTTTCTACATGATAAAGTGTTTACCCTATTAGTGGTTCAGGAGTCATGGTGAAATTCTTGTACTACTCCCTTCGTTTCAATTTATGTGAACCTATTTCCTTTTTAGTTCGTGCCAAAAAGAATGACCTCTTTTCCTATTTGGAAACAATTTACCTTTATGCAATGATTTATAGCCACACAAAATATATGTGCTTCATTTTACACCACAAGCTTAAAAGTCTTCTCTCTTTTCTTAAACTCCGTGCCCAGTCAAATGGGTTTACATAAATTGAAACGGAGGGAGTATCTCGTATGGGCATGTTAGGTGTAGTGAGCGGCATGAAATTCAGAAGTTAAGGATCAAGGTTGCGGTTCGATGTTGACAAGGATGTCACGAGCTCGGATGAGCAGGAAAAGAATTTAGATGTTTAGAGTAAGCTGGTATTGCCTTTAGCGTCATGTGAGGTCGGTGTCCTGTGTAAGAGGTTTTGCGTACTAATTACGGATTCTTGACTTGCTTATAGCATTAGTATAGCCAGTGGTATGGATGTGAAGACTCGTTGTCTGGTACGGAAGGTCGTGGGAGCGTGTCCCACGGGAAGTGTGACATATAGTCACTTGATTCATTGAAGATTTAAAACCAAGTGTGGAGATTTTTGGTACTATCGCTAATGTGAGAATTTATGCTTGAAGGGTGCTCGGTTCATTTGGTTGTGGACTGTAGAAGTTTGTTTCGGTCATGATGGTTGTTCTTGTGTGTTATGGGAAAGAGGGTTTTATGGACCCTAGAAAGGTTATTAGCCCAGTGCGGTGCCAGAATCGGTTGGAGATCCGTGGATGGATCAAAATGTGAATGTGGGCTCTATATTAGGCCGGATGTGTTTATTTTAGCTTAGCGTTGTTTTCGGAGGAGTCTTTGGGCCTTGGATTTCTTCGTTGGCTATTTCATGTAATGCTATATTGTGCCATGTGAGTTGTGAAATGGCTTGGTAAATTTCTTATGTGTTGAGGTTCCGCGTAGAGATGGTGTTAGGTGAGCAGGATGTCTCTCGAGATTCAGATCATATATCGCACCTTAGTTGTGCTTGAGTTTTGTAGCGTATGGCGCGTATGGCGCTATCTGTCTCCCCAGGGATGGTATTATGCACTTGGCGTGCTTGTGGCCGATAATCGGGTATTTTTGTAGTAATGAGCATTCTAGCTCGGTACGTATCTCCTTATATAGATTTTATGTGTGGATCGGGTGGCACGCCGCCACAGGGTATGTTGTTTGGATCGGGTTGAGCGCCGCAACAGTGTGATGTTGAGTACAGTCCCCTATAGCTATTTTTGTGTATTTGTTTTCCGTTTTCTAAGGAAGGTTCATAACACCTTTTCGGTTGTCTAATTAGTTGCGTGGGTTGAGTAGTCCTTTCTAGAGTTCGTTTTCCTTATATATGACATTCGAGTTGGTAGCTTGTTGGCACATTGTGGCATCATATGAGACTCTTGGTCATGTCTGGCGTGGCTTATTGCCTGAGCAGCTTGTACTGGGTGAGATGAGATTATTGGACCAGGGATCAGTGCGATCGGATTTATATGAAGTGTATTTAAGGACAAATATAGTTATTTGGTTCATAATGAGGCAATGGATCTTGTCAAGAGAAGGAACTCACTCTCCTCTATCGTGGTGGTATTGCAAGGGTTGACAAGGCTTATATATGCCATGAGGTGCATGGTGACCATCAGATTCGTAAAATTTCGGCTATTGTTACAGGGGATGTTATTATGGCCATGTGAGTTATGCAGTGCATAGTGTGGATTCAACAAGGGTATGCAATCATGTATTGACGCATCGCATAGAGATTGATATAGTGTTCGTATGATGGAAACAGGCCTGGCAGAGAATCCCAGATGTTGGAATGGGGCTCTAAAGCCCACTTGGCTGAGTAAAAAGAAAATATCTTCAAATTAGCTCTATCTAATGTGCTCAACTAAGTTGTGGTGGCACGGGTAGGTGCACGAGGTGTTAAACGATGATTTCTGACAACTCCAGAGCAGTTCTTAACACGTTCGAGGACGAACGTATGTTTAAGTGGGAGAGAATGTAACGACCCGATCGGTCCTTTTGAGCTCTAGCACGTCGTTCAGCGGTTTGAGGTCATGAGCAGCTTCACTTCATGTATTATGACTCGTACGCGTGGTCGGAATTGAAATTTGGGAAGTTCGAAGTCGATTTGGAAAGGGAATTCTCATTTCGGAAGCTTTAAGTTGGAAGAATCGACTAAGGTTGGAATTTTGATTAAACGACCTCGGAATCGGGATTTGAAGGTTCCAGCAGGTTCTTATGATGATTTCGAACTTGGGCGTATGTTCGGATCGGGTTTTAGATGACCCGGGAGCGTTTCGGTGTCTATTGTGAAAGTTGGCATTTTGGAAAAAAATCATAAATTTGGGTTGAAGTGCATTTCAATGTTATCGATGTCCGTTTGGGGTTCCGAGTCTGGGGATAGCTTCGTATGGTGATTCTGGAATTGGAAGCACGTCTGGAAGTGGATTTGGAGGTCCGTAGGTCATTTCGGAGTCATTTGGCTAAAGTTAGAAATTTGACGGTTTTGAGAAGTTTGACCGGAAGTGGACTTTTTCATGTCGGGGTCGGAATCCGATTCCGGAAGTTGAAGAAGGCCCGTAATGTCGAGTGTGACTTGCGAAATTTATGGTCAATCGGACGTGATGTGACTGGTTTCAGCATCGAATGTAGAAGTTTGAAGTTCAAAGTTCATTGAGCTTGAATTGGAGTGTGATTCATGGTTTTAGCGTTATTTGATGTGATTTGAAGGCTCGACTAAGTTCGTAATGTATTTTGGGACATGCTGGTATAATTGGTTGAGGTCCCAAGGGCCTCGGGTGGATTCTGGAAGGAAAACAGATCGATTTTTGACTTGAAGGAGGAGCTCAAGGGGGCTCTGGTTGCTGGTGTAACCGCTTTTGCGGAAGCTTCATCGCAGAAGCGGCCCTGCATAAGCGAGGCAGTGAATCGTTGAAGCGGCTGGGAGTGAATGGGGCAGAGGAATTTCCGCACCTGCGTGATCGCAAATGCGGTCTTGGCAGCGCAGAAGTGGACTGGAGCAGCTGGGGGCTTTCCCTCAGAAGCGGAATTGGTGCCGCACTTGCGAAACCGCAGAAGCGATCCAGTGACCGCAGTTGCGAAAGTCGGGGCTAGGCAGTGTCTTCTTTAAAGCGGGGGTTTGGCTCTATCTCACTTCATTTCGCCCATGGGAGCCAATTTTGGAGCACTTTTGGAGTGCCATCTTCATCACAATAACGAGGTAAGTGCTTTCTTCACATTTTTGAGTTAAATACATGATTATAAATGGATTTGAACACGGAAATTAGTAGAAATTGTGGGGTTTTGGTGGAAAATCTAGAATTTGGTATCTTTGGGTTTTGGCCACGATTTTGGACATGGAATTTGGAATAAGTTATATATATGAGTTCGTGGGGTCATGGGTAAAGTTTAGTTTCGAAAAATTTCAGAATCCGGGCACGTGGACCCGAGGGTGATTTTATCGACTTTCCGAGCGGAGTTGGGAATTATTGTGAATCGAATAGTTATGAGTATTAGTGTATATTTTTATTGGTTTGCGTATTATTTGGCGAGTTTCGGAGCTTGGGCATCAGTTTGAGGTGCTGGAGTGGTGTTGGAGCCGGTTATGGAATTTTGGAGCGAGGTAAGTCTCCATTCTAACCTTGTAAGAGGGAATTAACCTCATAGGCGAACTAAATTATTATGTGCTTCTATTTGTGGCGGCTACGTACGCACGAGGTGACGAGAGTCCGTATGTAGTTACTAGCTATGCCTGTATCCGGGTAGTTTTAGGCTTACATCATGCCTTTTTGATATTGTTGTCAATTTATGTTAATTGTTTGCCTTGAGAAGAAGCGAGATTGAGTTAACTTATTAAGTGTTTTGAAAGGAATTGAAATTGAGGAAAAATTGGGAACTTAAAAGTTTTCATTTGAACTTCGTATTTTGAAAAGAATTGAAGGATACTATAATAACTTAAGAAATCTATGTGTAACCGCGTCACACGTATGATCCGCGAGCAGGGTAATTCTTTAAATTTATATTTAACTGCGTCACACGTATGATCCGCGAGTAGGGTAATTCCTTAAATTTAAATTTGACCGTGTCGTATATATGATTCGCGAGCGGGGTAAATAGATACATCTATAATAATTGAAGGTTGTAAATTAGAATAATAGTCAAAATGTAGTTAGAAGACTATCAATTTACCTATCAAATGAAAACGTGTTTAGAAACTATATAAAAGAAGTTATAGCTAAGATCAATTTCTGCATCCAAGAAATATAACAAATGCTAATTAAGCTACAGCTTTGTATGGTAGAGAATGTGCCCAATAATCTTTTACTGGCCATTATATTTGTGATACAAAAGATAATCAAAGAGCAACGGACACACATAATCAAGTTAACAAGCCTGCACACTTACAACATTTAAAATTACACCATGTGATAAAAGAGCAAACTTACAACATTTGAAACTACATACACACAAAAAAGAGCAAACTCCATGGCCTTTAGAAAAAAAGTATTCGACACAATTTATCTCATAGGGCAGGTCTGATAATGGCATAGTTTGAGTTGACTAATGGAGCATCACCTTTCAACATACCATCAAGTTCTTTGATGAATGTTTCCATAGCAAAACCAGGCAAACAAATTGGAACCAAAATTCCATTCTCACCTTTCTTGTTTTTAAATGGTATATAAAAACTAGCCACACCAGGAATTGCACCCACTCCTCCTTTAGCTGGTCCACCATATACTGCTTTTCCCCATCCAAAATCCACTCCTCCAAATCCACCTCTAGTCACATCTGATACAAGATAAGTCCTCACCACTGTAAAATGGGGTCTACCTTTTAACACCATTAAATCTGCCACTGATTTCATATATTCTTCAGTCACATCCGTCTTTGTTTTCTTCACTAACTCGAGTGCATATCCTAGTGGATTTTTGCTCAGCTTAGCCGCAGTTGTGACTGCTACGGGGAATACAAAGGCGTTGCCATAGTAGCCAGTAGGCAAAGGAGGATTGAACCTCGAACGTGCATTGACAATGCAAAGAACGCGAACTTCCTCTTCTGGATCAGGTTTTAGGGACATTGTTCGACAACGCCAAAGGACTGCTGTGAGTAGTTCAAAAGTGGAACACTTACGCAAGTGATGAGGGACAAATTTGCGAAGTGCTGAGACCTCAGAAGGGCCAAAAAAGAAAGACTTGTGAACCATGTCGTCTAAGGGGATAATTGTGCCCTTTGTATCGGGTACTTCATCGTATTCGTGATGTGTACATGTCACTTGAGGCGGATTTCTTGCATTTAGCAATTCTCGACACCAGACTGGAAGTATAGATGGAGCAGATGCACCGCGTGCCATTTCACCCACTGCAGTCATGAATTGGACGAGACCGGGTGCATCACTCATTGTGTGGTTTAATCTTAGCGCGAAGATAAAACCACCACATCTTAGACGAGTTACCTGCATATAATTGATATATTAGTCATTCCATTACGAACATTTTCTTTCAAAGGTGCAATTATACGGCCTTATGTAGAGAGCTGGAATAAAAAACAAAACCATAATAATTTCTTTGTTGAACGAAGGAGCAATAGCTTTCAATGATTGTACTTTATACTTGCATTTAGTGGAACCAAAAAGTTCTACTGGGCCAGAACCATGTTCAACTTTTTTCTTGCTAGGTTGCTAGAACTCTTCAAAAATATTGTAGGGTGCGTGTCGAATCCTCCAAAAATAGTATATTTATTAAATGATCCGACACGAGTGCAACAACATTTTGGGAAATTCGCGCAACATAAATTTTTGCAGCAATATTAGTTCATTTAACTAGATATATAACATATTATTACTTTATTTTTTGGGTTGCCATCTAAAGTTTGCTATATATAAAGACTAACTTATTAGTATAAGTCAACTCAACTTGATGGTGTAAAAAACATTAGAATTTAAACTCATTAAGGAGCGTTTGAACATAGATATTGGGTGAAGTTTGATGTGAAATAGAAAATGTGTTTGGACATGAATTTGGGGTAAGGTTTGACATGTTAAGAAGTCTTTTTTTTTTCCAGCTAAAAAGTCTCAAATAGTCGTGATTTGGCCCGAAAAGAGGTCTTAAGCTATATTTAGCCTTTGAATTTTTAGTTTTCAAAATCTCCCAAAAACTAGATTAATTCTTTAAACGAACAGATATTTGATTATTTTATTTTGAAAAAAAAACTTCCAAAAACTTATGGCAAAACGCCTACTAAAACTAAGTTGGAAAAGAGAGATAATTATTAACCTGAATAAGAAGCAAAGGGCAGTGCAGAACTCCAGCAGAGTTAGGAACATCATAAAGAAGCTCTTCTAAGCATGGAAATGGAGGCTGAAGTTCATCTCCAAATTCCTCAAGTGTAACATCAGCGTCCGCTTCGACAAACAGAATCCCTTCGCCGGTACAATCCACCATCAGTTTCCGGCCATTTCCTTCCCGGAGCCGGCCAGCAAATGGATAGTAAAACACAAGTGTTTCAGCTATAGCCTTTTTAATAATATTAACAGGATCTTTCCCTCCCATAGAAGAATTCTTACTGTAAAATTGAATAACAGGAATTTGAAATCTAAGACCTTCTTGATCATCAATATCAGAAAGAAACTTAGTTTCACGTGGAGTTGGCTTTGCCGGAGCTATTAACTCTGGCTTTTGTCTCCTTACTGTGAACACTAGTTTTGATGATTGTTTTGAATCCATTAATGAAGATGATAATCAAGAATGGAAGTTTAATATTAGTGATTAATTGGGATATGAAGAAGAAATATTTGGATTTGTGTTTGTAGATGAATTCCTACTACTGAAGCATAAAAGCTATATATAGAGGTGGTAACAGAGGTATGTACCTAAGATGGGGTGGAGATTTCCTCTAGTGAATTTTGGTCAAGTATTATTCAATGCAGTTACCGATATATGCCATGTGTACACCCATATATTTTAAGGCAGAGATTCATTTGGTTATTAAACAACTAAAAAGGTAAGACAATATTTAACAAAAAATAATATCACTAACGGAAATCAAAACGGAAACTGTTATTATACCGTGAAACTTAGGGGTGAGCATCGGTCGGTTCGGTTCGATTGTGAATATTATCGGTTTGGCATATCGGTTGTAGGTTTATAAATATGCTAACCGATAAGATATTAGTTATCGATTATCGGTTAATCGGTCGTTATCGGTTCAGTTAACGATTTACCCGATAAGATTACTCAATCTAGATTCTATAGGGAAGAAGTAATGAAGGATAATGGTAATGTATAAAGAATATGATAAACTTTCTTTATTCTTGTAACCCTCTCAAAGAATATGATAAACCTTACAACATTGTTTTTCTATGTGTTGGATGACAGATTTGGGAGGGTTACAATAGTAGATAGAGAATTGTGAGAACGAAGAAATTTATATACCTGAGGATAAAGCGCCCGTTTGGACATAAAAATTTGATGGAAGGTTTTTCTTACTTTTTTTCAAAATCAGCGTTTGTTCATAAAATTTTCAATTTTCACTTAAAGATGCATTTTGGAAATTTTCGAAAATTTGAAAAACCGCAAAAAGCTATTTTTCAAAATTTTCACTCAAATCACTCACAAAACTTCAAAAACAACCAAAACTGAAATTTATGTCCAAACACAACTCTAAATTTCAAATATCATTTTCACTTGAAAAAAATTTCACAATTTTTTCGAATTTTACAATTCTTATGTGCAAACGCCTACAAAATCGTATTTTGATCAAGTTTATTGGTTATTGGTTAAACCGTTAATAAAATTGGGCAAATCGAGACTCGAACCGATAGACCAATAGTAAAATAACACTAAACCATTTTCGAACCGTCAACCCAATAATCCGATACTGATAACCGAATATGCTTTTTTCGGCTCGGACTATCATTTTACCCGAGATATACCCAGCCCTGTGAAGCCTGCCATTTCCTTCTCTCTCTTAAAACTACACATGGGGCCAGCATGGTGTATTTTCCCATATGTTTGAGTAATAAAAGTAGTAAGTGGGGGGAAAAGAGGCGACGTTAGTGGTTAGAAACTTTATTTTTATGTTTTATTTTTTGTAATGAGTTGGTCAGTTTTTTATTTAATTAAGTACTGGCTAACCATGGATCTCCAGACCCGACTTACGAGAACATGGGCGTATGTAGTGCTGATAATAAGTAGTGATGTATTTGGTTGAAAAGTGCTGATAAACTATTTTTTTGTTAAAATAGTTAAAATATCCTTAAAAACTTTACAAAAGATCATAAATCAAAAAGCTTCTTTGTAAAGAAAAGGATGAGTCGTGAATATGGAATAAAGAGAAAGTTAGAAAAATGATTTTGGGAAAAATATTTTGTGAATTATAAAATATTATTAAGTATAAACTAGTAAAAGTCTTGGAGGGTGTTTGAATTGGCTTATTTTAAGTGCTTATTGGTTTTTAAGCACTTTTCTAGTTTATGTGGTTGTTTGGCTCAAAAGTTAACGATATACTTTGTAAGCGATAAAACAATCAAAAATAGTAAAGGGGTAAATCGTAATCAAATATAATAAGCCTAGAGATGCAAAGATGATAATATTGTTGTGGATCTGATATTGCAAAATGATAATGTTTACCAATAAGATATCTTCGTTAAAAGTAGAGATATAAAGAGAGAAAGCCAGATAAATGAGAGAGTTGTATTAGATCAGATGCCCTTTTTACAATGTGGAAGTCTCCTTTATATAATAGGAGACCTTCCTTGAAAGAATCAAAAAGTTACAAAAATAGGTAACGTCTCCCTAGCGTAGACGCTGAGTTCGAAACGATGTCGCTTTTGTCCTTATGGCCGAGTCGTACCCGCTATGTTGGTTGGCGTACACTCATTGGGCGTACCCACTGGCGTAGAGATACTGAGGTTCAAATTTGACCCGATACAGTTAGTCCCTCCGCTCGTTGGAGACGCGTTCGGTGGGCGTCTTCGACGGGCGGAAATGCGAACCTCGGCTTAGGAGAATTTGACCTCGACCAGGGGCGGCCATGTGAATGAAGTGAAATATATGACGTTGTTGAGTCGCTGACGCGTGGCTTCCTTTTTGGGATGATGTCATCGCCTGTATGCACCATCATTATATTTGCCCCCGAGGCGGTTCAGAGGATGAAGTGACGTTTTGGTTTCCGGCGCACGTTTTTAATCATGACTCTTCGATTCCTGTGCAACTTATCCTTATAAGTATGAGAGAGGTTTGATCTGATTCCACTTTCAAGCCTCTGAAAAGTATTTTCTGATACACTCCTTTGCCTTTCTTTCCTGTAATCGTTATTTCGTGAGGGACTCTTCCACTTCTGTTGAAACCACACTCCCTATCGTCAGTGCTTCGTTTCTCAAGTAGCATAATCATGACAAAACGCGGACAGAATAATAAAAAGGCCAAAGACAATGCCCCGTCTAGGGTTCCGCCATCTTCCGGTGGTGAAGGGGAAAAGGCGGAGAAGGCCCTTGTTCCTCTTAGCGTAGACAATGTCCTTCCGAAGGAGACGCACGTTCGCAGGGATTTTCCAACTAAAAGCCCTGATCTTCCCTGGGAGCACAGTGTTTTACTACAATCCCATTTAGACGATCTGCGAGAGACGCACCATATTCCGGACCACGTGGAAATGGTTCCGGCTGGGACGGATTATGCCAATGTGCACCGGCCTGGATATTGCACCTTCTATGAGTACCCGTTCTTGATCGGTTACGACCTTCCAGTCTACCCTCTGGTGGAGGAGCTTTGCCGTTTTTACAATGTGTGTCCGGCCCAGCTCACTCCTTATACTTTGAAGGTGTGCCGTATCCTGACCACTTATGCGGCCAGGGCTGGGTGCAGCGTTTCGGTCCACCACCTCTTACAGTTGTTCAGCGCTGGTTACCTGAGGGGTACCATGCTGCAGTTGAAAGGTCGTGGCGCAAAGGGCTTGGTCGTTAAAGCCGATGATAAGCCCAACCGCCGCTTTTGGCGTAAATATTTCTACATCAGGACGGAGCACCTGGTGTCGAATCCCGAGGGGTTCCCGGAGAGATGGAATCCAGAGCGTAAGTATTTCTACTTGTAGATTTCAGCGCTGCTTGCTCTTTCGACCATACGGCCATTGTGACCTTTGTTTTTCTTTCTTTTTTATTTGCAGCGAGGGCCTCTCCACCCCAGCTCGTCGATGACATTAAAGCGTGGGTGGAAAGAATAATACCCTATGCGGAGGAGTGCCGTACCTGGGCTGCATTTCTTCGACAGTACGGCCCGTCAGGTAATTCTTTGGCTATGGTTTTGGGGATTCCCTACATATTTGTTACCTGACTTATTCGCGTTGGCAGGTCGGAGCGCCCCTAAGAAGAAGAAAAAAAGCGTCGTCATCTTACCTGGGGCGGGGACCGATTCTGAAGATGGATACATACCCTGCGGTTCGCCCAGTGATGACGCAGCGGAGGTTCCTCAACCGCAGCCTGTGGCGGCGTCCGCGAGGGGAGCGACTCCTTCGATGCCATCCCCTCGGGCTGTGGAGGAGACCTCTACGAGCGAGGAGACGCCGGAAAGAAAAAAGCGTCGGTTGGTAACCGGCAAGGGGGTAGCCACGACAGATGAGGGGGCGAGCGAGCCCCGTCGGGAGTCAAGGCCTGTTTTTATAGCGGATGCCATCCGTTCCGGGAGGTCGGCTCCCCAAAGGGGGGCTGTTCTCGACGCCAGGCCAACTCGCATTCCGGNNGGCTTCGGCTTTCGGCTTACGGATTCGGATTCGGGTTCGGATTTGGATTTGGTCAAATGAATCGATTGATTGATTAACTTTTTGGACCAAATTTATTTGTTAATAGTAAAATATTAACAGAAATGTTATTAAATATTTGTTTTAATAACAAAATATTAATATTAAATATTAATATTAAATCCAATCCGTTTTTCTGTTTTGTTAACAGAAAAGTAACTACCCTCTTCAATTTTCCCTCTTTATTTTCCCTCTTTATTATTGAGTAAATGACCATTTATGTAATGGCATTTATGCTGTGGGCGTTTTGCATAAACAGCCATTCTGAAGAGTTGCACCTCTTCAGATTTCAGCCTAACTTTGGCTATAAATACAACACTATTCTGCTCAGAATTTCAGTACGATTTTCTGAGTTTCTTCTCCTTCTGCATACTTTTAGCATCAAACAAAGCAAAAAGTAAGTGTGATTTGCTACCGAACTTTGTGTTCGCTGAAACACTGGGGTTTGAAGTACCACTACACCAGTGTGTAATTCGTTCTATCCTGGGAGGAAATAATCCATAACCTTGGGTATTAGGAGGGGATTAAATTCCTTAAGGAAACACTGTGAATTCAGTGGGCTCGAATTGGTTTTATGTCATTTCTGTTTATGTTCATTTCTGTTTATACTCATTTATATTTCCAGAATTATTTTACAAATACAGTCTACTAACAGTTTTTACCTTCGATTTGAAGGGTTTTCCATGTTAAAATTTGGTGTTCTTTATCTTCTTTATTTTTGGTTTGCCTCTTTCTCGACATAACACATCTCTCCTCAGAATATAGATCGATTGACCACTTGATAGAGGGGTTTTAAATATTTTCTGTATACTTCAAGTGGCGAGATTATCAATTAATTTGTCAGAACGCAATACACTTCATTGTTAATAGTAATTTTACCCAAGTAGGTTCAATTTTATTGAGTTTCTTGATCCATGTTGTTCCATTATATATGGATCACTTCCTTCCTAGAAAATCAACATGAATTCATTAAGGTCGTATTGAAAATCAAAACTGATAATTAATTAAATCTATGGAAGAAGAGTACGATTGAAGTAAAGCTATACAGTTAAATTTGGTACGTCACCTTA